TACATTAATTAATATAATTAATATTGGTATTATTAATTAGTACTACTACTACTACTAGTATTGTTATTGTCAATATAATTACTAGTACTAGTATATATTGCTAGTATTATTATTATTAATATAATTACTAGTACTAGTATTGCTAGTATTATTATTAATATAATTACTAGTACTAGTATTGCTAGTATTATTATTAATATAATTACTAGTACTACTACTAGTATTATTTTTATTAATATCATTACTACTACTAATATTATTATTATTATTATTACTATAATTACTACTGCTGCACTACTACTATACTACTACTACTAATAATACTATTATTATTGTTATTATTTTTATTATTAGCAGTAGCAGTAGTAGTAATTATAGTAACAATAATATTATTATTTTATTAATATTCCCTAGTAAATCCCTAGTAATAAATTCTCCCCAGCAAATCCTTCCAACTTATAAAAATGTCGCAAATTATTCAGATCCCTTGCGTCTCGTTTCTACAGTCGAACGACGATCGATAACCATAAAAACGAGCCGCGACGAGTCGAATAATCGATCGACGGTATCTCCGCTTCCCGAAATTGTCCATTATCGTTGCGCGATCCGAGCGAAAATACGGTAGAAATTTACCGTACGTCGCCTGTGTACCCTCTCAGCGATCATCATCATCCCCCAGCGTTACCAAGCGGACCAACGAGTTTCGTTTGCGTTTATTCTGTTAGTTCTCTGTAGTTGTCCTCTGTTGCGATGTCGTTTGCAATAATAAAAGAAAAAGAATACATTCTATTCTTGTCTGAACTGCGAAACTGCGACCTCTACGAACCGTGTTCCGACCCGATGCACGCCGATGTAAAAGGCATTAGGCTAAATGTCGTTCGCCGGCCGAACACCCCGGCGATCCTCTCCCCCTCCCCCGCCCGCAACAGAAAGAAGGCTCCTCTTTGGTATGAATAAAGTTACGATCACCGTTTCGAACCAGCACCAGCCGCCTGTTTCTGATTTTTCCATTCCCGTTCACACCGTTTTTCTCGTTTCGTCGATCCCGACATCGTCGTCCGACGACAATCGGAGGCCCAGCACGCAACGACGATCTCTCGCCGCGACGGCTTCTTTGCGCTACGATAATCACCAACCATCCGCCTTTCGTCGCTTAACCCACCCCCGCCCCCCCCAAACCCCCGCCCCCCCCTCCC